GCCGCTGTAAAGCATCTCGAGATTGTTGTAGTTGTCTCATCTAGTTGCATGGGCCTGGCCCTGTCTACCTGTTCGAATGATGTTTTCTCAAGTTTTGATGGTGCCAGGAATTCATGGTTGTACAGTATTGCTAGTACCTTATTCTAGCTGTTATTGCCCATCCTGTTTTCAACCTGAAATCCTTTCATGCGGGGACGTGGAACAGAATCCAGGACCAGAAATAAATAAAAACAACAATTATGGAGCACACTCTACTGCAAGCATCACACCTAATACCTCTGGCAATTACAAACCAGAATTTTATTATCAAAATATTAGAAGTCTTAAAAATAAATTAGAAACATATCACTCGGAATTAAATGCGCATCTTTTAAACCGCACGTTCGACTTCGTTGGATTTACTAAGACGTGGTTAAACTCAAGAGTGTTTGACTCAGACCTTCACTGTCCAAGCTTCACTATTTACAGAAAAGATAGAGATGATGGCAGAAGAGGAGGTGGTGTTTTGCTCCTTGCATCGAATCAATATAAATCCCGGCGCTTGACACATCTTTAAAAAAAACCACATCTTGAAATTATCTGGGTTGAAATTAAATTAAGTAAGACTAAGCATTTGCTAGTTGCAGTTATTTACAGGCCGCCTAATAGTGGCAGAGACACTGTATTACAGATTGCACAATCAGTTGAAGATGCACTAACAATGTATTCAAGGCATCAAGTCATTCTCATTGGTTATATGAATCTCCCCGAAATCCGGTGGACCAGTGATGGAATTGGGACTGCACCTGCCAACTCGATTGGTGAACTTTTTATTGACTGTTTTATTAATGGACATAATCTCTTTCAGTGCAATATTAACTCCACCTGCAATAATAATATATTAGACTTAATCTTGTGCAATAATTCAATTGATTTAATTACTGATATTTCTGCTGGTCAGAATATCTTTGACTCCGACCATTTGTCTCTCTCATTTACGTTTCACCTTTGTAGGTACTATCATTTTTCTAGAGATCCTCGAAAGATTTATAATTTTAAGGCTATAAATAATGTAGACCTCATTAGCACCTTTAATACTATTCCGTTTGATTTAATTGATTCATGCAATGATATTAATGATAGTGTTTCTCTTTTCTATAATTTAGTTGACGCTGCCCTCCGTGACCTTGTGCCTACCATACGACCTAAGAGAAAAATGCCTCCATGGTTTGATTGTGATGTCCGTGCTGCCCTAAAACACAAAGAGCGAATTCATCGACACTTAAAACGATATAAAACTCAAGAACTCAAAGATTCTTTCTCTATTGCCAGAAAAAAAAAACTAAAACATTAGTAAAAATTAAGTATACAAATTATATGCAGTCACTATCTGGTGATTTGAAATCAAATCCAAAGCGCTTTTGGTCCTGGATGAAAACCAAAAACTAAATCATCATCCTATCCTTCTGTTTTTTCATTCTTTCTTTAAAAAAAGTTTAAATTTAACTGAAGAAAACCAATGTCTTCCTGAGGCTCCCGTTGGTATGCTCAGTACTCCTGAGATTCATCCTGAAATCGTTAGCAAACTATTGACATCAATTCAAACAAGTAAGGTATTTGGAAGCGATAACCTCAGTAATCACGTTCTGAAACTTTGTGCTCGTCCACTTTCCGTTCCCATCTCCAATATCTTTAAAAAATCACTTCAAACTGGACAGTTCCCTTGTCTTTGGAAACATTCAAATGTTGTTCCTATTCATAAAGGGGGGAACCAAAACATTTATCTCCAATTATAGGCCTATCTCGCTGCTACCAACCATCTCTAAAATATTTGAAAAAATTATTTTTAATCACATCTGGACTCACGCTTCACCTCCCATTGCTTCCTGTCAACATGGTTTTGTGGCTGGTAGGTCATGCGAAACAAATCTTGCTAGCCTTCTGACTACAGTCTATAAAGCCATTGATGTGGCATAGTTTATACCGATTTCTCTAAGGCTTTTGATTTAGTTCCACATAGTTTACTATTGCTTAAATTACAACGTTTTGGTTTTACAAATAGCTTTATTTCCTAGTGGTTTAATAGTTTCTTAGATGGTAGGTTGCAGCGAGTGGTCATTGACGATGTTGCATCGGAGTGGTTTCCTATCCACTCCGGTGTTCCACAGGGCTCAATTCTTGATCCCCTCCTTTTTAATCTTTATGTTAACGACATTCCTAATATTATATCATATTCCAGATGACTTATGTTTGCTGACGATGTCAAGAGTTTCAAAATAATTAGCAGCAGTGAGGATACCAACGGGCTCCAGACGGACCTTAATAGATTAAGTTCTTGGGCGTCAACTTGGGGTATGTCCCTTAACCCTGTAAAGTGCAATATATTATCTATTTCGTTAAAAAAAGAATATTTTAAAGCACAATTATTTAATCAATGACAATCCTATAAATCGGATGCATTCACACAAAGACCTTGTTGGTATTTTCATTGATAGCACCCTTAGTTTTTCTTATCATGTTGATTATCTTCTGGCAAGTGCAATAGACTGCTTGGGCTGATGTGGCACAATTGCAAAAACCAAGGTAATTTAACAAAAGGACGCACATCTCGTGACATCAAAGTTTATAACTCTGGCATCGACATTCTAGGCGCACGTGCGTCCCTACACGCTGAACGTCACAAAAACCATAGCAACCAGACCATAAACCGTCAGCGTACGTGACGATTTACCCACGCGCGTGTTAGTTGCCATGTTAGTCGCGCGTCGTTCGTTCGTCCTTCGTATTCGAAGAAGACCTTGATCACCAAGTATATTGACATGTTCCTAGACTTATAAGTTATCCTTGTGTATACGTTGGTGGCTGATTAGTCCAATCCTGGATTTAAAGTTTCTTCTACACGTCTGGCATTGATGCTCGGTTGATGTGCATTTTATTTTCTCACGTTCCTTTCTTGCAGCACGTTTAGCTTTTGCGTGCAAGATTCTGTTTTTTTCAAACCGTTCTATTCCAGTGTGAGTAGTGTGTCTCCAAATGAGTCTATCTGATGCTTGTACTTCAAATGCATTCGGTGAGATGCTGCAATGCTTCAGAGTTGCTTTCAGTGAATCCTTAAAGCGTTTTTTCTGACCTCCTTGGGATCGATTACCTGTCCAGAGTTCACCATATAGGAGCTGTTTTGGTATGCGTTACGGTGATTACAAAGGCCTAATGATATTTTGCACTAACATTAGAGTGAAATATATTCTTCATTTCAACATTAATTTTACCAAAATTGTGGTGAATTGTCGTTCATGAGACTCATTCGCAGAAAAAATTAATAAATGTTCCGTATATACTCAAATGTTCGTCCTCGGCACCTTATGCCAACATTGTCAAAATGACAGATTAATGTTACATAAGAACATGAAATTTTATAAAATTCGTAAATTTTGAATCGCTATAACTTTTCATTTTCTTGGTCAATTTTCACAAATCAAATTGTAATTTATAGAAGCATTTAACAAGCTCGCGGTAAAAAAAAATCAAATGTAACAGACATTGCGAAGTACCCAAAATTAATAAAATAAAAACTAACACCATAAAACGAATGGCACGCATAGACTAATAATTGACGGCTGTAAAGTAAACGTAAGTAAACAGCCAGAAATAGAACCAGAGCTTTCGGACAACACTAGTCCTTCCTCAGTGGCGAGTGATATATATATATGTATATATATATATATATATATATATATTGTGTGTGTATACATACATACATACACACACATGTGTATACATACACGTACACGTTATAATATACATACGTGTAATAATATGTATACACCTATATACATACGTAGGCCTATACACGCATATACATACGTATACACGTATATACATACGTATACACATACGTATACGCACACACACGTACACACACATACATACGTACACACACGTACATACGTATACACATGTTTGTACATACGTATGCACATGTATATATATGTATGTGTATGTATATATATATATATATGTATATGTATGTGTATATGTATGTATATGTATATATGTATGTATATGTATGTATATGTATATATATGTATATGTATTTATATGTATATGATGTATATGTATGTATATACACACACATCTAGATGTGTATAAGAGACAGCATATATATATATATATATATATATATATATATATATATATTATTAACTGGACATAGATGGATGGGAGTCTATAACGCACGTTTCACGCTATCACGATCCTCAGATAGACTGATTGTTAGCACATACTACTCTCTTAGATACAAAGGTGTTTTGCATATTAGCCACGAGCAGGTGGAAATTTTGTATGCCTACATTTAGATATCAGTTCTGACCTTTTATTAAGTAGGATTGTCTTATTAGCATTAAGGATAGCTAATTTTTAGTCCATGCATACCAAACGCTGCGCTTTACGGATAAGCGCCACTATGTTCCACTCTATTTTAAATTTGGTATTCTCATTTTTTAGTTTCCACACATATTTAGACAATTCAGATTCCTTTTCATATGATTTGTTATTGAATGATTTCTTGTGGTTATTAAAGCTTGTCTTAAATTCCCCATGTAACTCGATGATTATTTACCTTCACTTCCCAACATATACAGTATATACATACATACATATAATTATATATACATGATGATTTATGTATAACTTAACAGTGTTAACGGCTATCTTGATTTATATTATATGCAGTGCAACTATATATATATACTTATATATATACATACTATATATATATATATAGTGAATAATTTTAAATGCTTACTAATATATATATATAGTGTAGTCATTACTTATCAACATCTACAAACGCAGTGTCTTATTGCATAATGATAAAGCATACGATAGTCTGTCTCTACAGACATATCGCAGCTCGTAATAGAAAATACAGCGAGTGATTACCTCCATAAATACCGCGGATTCTTGACCCGTGTGTCAACCGTCTTCCTCCGTAACATATTAGGTGATGTTTATTTTGAATTGTGTTAGTGGCTCTGCGTCGAAAGGTTTAATTGATGATGAAGCCTAACATTCTACGGAATAATATTGAGAAGATTCAATGTGAACAACTCCAATTCCATGGTTTATAATACTGTTATATTATGATAGTATGCTACACTGTACGAATTTTAATTTATTTTTGAGGAGATCTGTGTTTATAAACCTAGAAACAAACGGTAAGTTCATGATAACCATAGCCGTGAAGTGTCAAGTATCAATTAACAAATAGGCTTTTAAACATAATTATGTCTTGTACCGCCAGTATTGTTTAAAGTATATATTAAAGTTTAAAGTAT